GTCAACATTATAAGAAATTAATGAAAATGGGGCAAGCGTATACCAAATAGATTGTACTTATAAACAAGGAAATAACAATATTGCTTTCACATATCTATACATTTTCTTTTGTAGCTAATATTACAACAGCATAATAATAATTCTGATCAATTAACAACAAATGCATCAGGCTTTTGGCAATTTGGGAAAGAGAAAGCTAATCGGGGAAAAGATATATATTAATAATCTGTCCGGCTGCTTGTAAACATGGCTAGGAAAGCACTCATGGAACATACCATCTTCTGAAGCTGACTCTTTTGTTTCATCATTTTCTGCCGAACCCTTCTCTAAGTTTTCGAGCACAGCTTCTTCGTGAACCAGCTCGTCCGTTTCTTTGTTCTTGGAAGTACCTTTCTCTGAGTTATCACTTTTTTGTTGTTGCTCACTAATTCTTTTAGCCGTGTTTTCCTCAGCAACTAAAGAAGTTGTGATACTAACAAGTGGGAATATGGTAACCTTAGAGGCTTGATTCAAAATAGCAATGGAACTCTTACAACAACTATTTCCACCGGACCTGAGCAATAACAACAACTAAGTCAAAGAAACAAGTTTGGTACAAACATTTCTTCAAGAAATTTGTAAACCTGAAACAAGATGTCATCTACAAGTTATAGAGAAATTCAACATTAATAGATGAGAGCAAAACATTACTGAGTTATGAAAATTGGAAGAATTAGATGGGGGGAAACTTATATGGCTCGTTTAGTAAGGTGAATTGTACAACACAATGGACAGTATCAAGTAAGAAAAAGAAACTAAAAATTGAACTACTATGTTGTCCAGTCCTCATGAGTACTATGTATTCGAACATATCCATATAGGTGATGATTTTCTTTTACAAAAATTTTCAAAGGCAATAAAAGCAAGTATAATTTGTGCTCTAGGTTAAAAAAGTGATGATCCCTTCATAATAACTCAAACTATCCATATAGAGCATACAAATATATAAATAGGAACAATGACCTTCTACTCAATCTTTATCTGGCAAGTAATTATACTTTCTCATATCATTTACTCCAATGATAGAATTCAAGACAAATTATTCAAGCAGGTTTTTTTCTTTAAATATAAGAATATTGACTAATTCATATCACTAAGGTACTAAAATACGCATCATCTTACTTATAAAATAGATCACTGCAACTAAAATTTCATCTATTAGCATTTCAATAGCTCATTCAAAATATACGAAAGAACCTAGATACTTCTCCACTCTCCTCTTAGCACCTAAAGAGATGAAAGTTTCCATAAAATTGCAAAATAATATGACTAAAGTGTGCAAACAAGAAACCCACACAGAAACACAAACAAAAATCGTTTTTGAAGCAGGAAATAAATGAATAAAAGAGAAACTGAAGACGAAAGGACAGACTGAGAAAGGAGGACCCTTGTGTGGAGAAAAAACGATGAAGGCGGATAAGCTATGGTAGTCTATTCTGGTCCACAAAATTGCAGCCACAGATTTTGTTTTTTCTAGATTTTAACTTCGACACTGCAACAAACTCCAACCCAACTTTCTTTTGCTTTCTTAATCATTTCAAATTGACAGGGTGAGAATTTGGTAAATCACAATTTTGATTCACATTAAGAATGACAAAATCGGTTAGAAATAGCTTTAGGAATGACCATAAATGGAAAAGCCCCAATTCTCTTGCAAATAATTCAAGAAATCCTCAAATCCTTACCTTACCTTACATAAATGGACCGAATTTGCCACACAACTCATGGACTGCTATCACAAGCTCACTCGATTCTGGACAAAATTTCAGGTGACCCGTGGTGGTAGTGGATACGCCTGGTTGAGAGGAGTGGAGTGGTGGTCGTGGTCCGAGATTGAAACATTGGCCGACGACGGTGGAAATATGGCGAAAATCGTGACTGCTAACGCGATTTTGGGTGGTGATTGGGGCTGTTTTCGACAACTCAGTGGCCAGATGATGACAAGAGGTCGAAGAGGGAGGTGAGGGGGTTCGAATGGTAGTGGGTTCTGGTGGTCTAGGTGGCGGATGGTAGTCGATTGTTGAGGAAGAAGCCGCGATTCCATGGTTCTCTCACGCACAGTGGTGGAAATAGAGAAAATGGCCGTTTTCCGCGTTTTTATGTTTTGAAGGGTTTTGGCTTGAAAACGGTGAAAACGCCAAAAACCACGTTTTGTGTTTTTAGGCTAATTTTTTTTTCTTGTTTTCAAAAATGGATTTTCGAAAATGAAAAAGAGAACGCGTTTTCGCTGTTTTGGAAAATCGAAAACAGAAAACGGCAAAGAGAACAGACCCTAATTGCCTAGAACTTGTTTTTCAGGGAATTGTTGATTAAGTGTGTTTGATTGGTATAATTTTCCACTTAGAAAAATTTAAAATTTTGTATCTTTTTGTGTTCGTTTGGCTTTGTTTTACATGGAAATTGTCCATTAAAATGATATTTTTTTTTCACAATTGGTTATAAAATTTGTTTTCATTGCCAAAAGGTAAAAAAAAAAAAAAAAAAAAAAATTCCTAGAAAATCATTTTTTAATCAAAATTTAGTGTTCGTTTGACTTTNAAAAAAAAAAAAAAAAAAATTCCTAGAAAATTATTTTTTAATCAAAATTTAGTGTTCGTTTGACTTTGTTTTACATGAAAATTGTTCATTAAAGTGAATTTTTTTATAATTGATTATGAAATTTATTTCCATTGCACAAAGAAAAATAAACAAAAAAACTTGGAATTCAGTTTCCCACAAAAAGGTGGGAAAGATAATTCAACCAAATCATGGAATTGGTGCACGTGTGGACCATTTGTGGAAAGTGTTTTCTAGGTAAATTTTGTGCCATCAAACACTACAAAAGATGGAAATTCCCTCTTATCAAACGTGGCCTTATTTACTTTTGTTATTTGTGTTCTTTTTGTGATATTCATGCATACTATCAATCTTCTCTAGAAAAATGAAACTATGAAAAAGATAAAAATAGAATTAAAATATCAAAGAATTCTAGACAATAGTCCCAATAAGCTTTTAAACAAAGGTTTCTTTTTAATTATTTTTTTCACTTATTCGTCGAAATAAGTTACTTCTACTCAACATATTTCTTCTTAGACTGAGTTAACTATTTAGAATAAATATTTACTACCCCATAAATTCTAAGGTTATAAAATAATTATAGTAAAAATGTAATTTTTAATGACCATTCTATGCCTTGTGTTAAATAGGAAGTTAAAAATCCAAACGTTAATTTTGTACAATATTTTTCATTGACCATTAGATCACTAAACTTATCATATCGTTATCTCATTTCAAAAAAATTGGATGACCACCAAATTTATTAAATCGTTATCACGTTGACCATTAAACTTTGAAAGTATGTCGAATGGTCACCAAACTTATCAAATTGTTATTACATTAGCAATTAAGAGTATTCTGAATGATTACCAAATCTGGGAGTTATTGAGTGATGCTTTTAGAGTTTAATGGCCGATGTGATAAATGGCTAGATAAGTTTAGTGATCATTGAAAAACTTTTAAAATTTTAATGATCAATAAAAAAATTGTGGAAAATTCCGGTTAGATATGAAGGTATAAGCTTTAATCCGAAACTTGAGATGGAGGTGAATTTGGAAATGATACAGCTTTGCTCCCTGACACTGAAATGGGAGGTGATGAAGAACCACCTCATGACACAGCAAACTCGTATCAACTTACAAGAGATAGAATGAGAAGGCACCACACAGATAAGGCCATATACTTGACCCCTCCAATCTTATATTAAAGCTTTACTTTTCCAGAAAGCATAAATGCCTTGTACACAATAGTTCTAACTAGATTAGCACCTCCCCAAGCAGTCTCCAACTCTTTAACAACCCCTGCAGGCAACAAATCCACGCCTTGTTCCTTTGCTGTAGCAACTGCAGACCATGATTTAAGGAATCCCAAATACCCCTCGAATGAAACTTCCTTTGGGATATCAAGAAAGAGTGGATTCCCTTCAGAACCCAACCCTACACTCTCAAAGGGAAATGGAAGTGTCTTGTATGCATCGTCCACACTGTCAGCCTTCGAATTCCTATAAGGAAGTACTGTCTGAAACCAATGTTGTGTGGCTGCATCAAAGGCAGGACTAATCTTATTAATGCCTTTATAGCCCCAGAGAGCGATTACGCCTCCTGGCTTTCTAAGAAGGCGAGTGACAACGGAGTAGAATCTTGGAAGGTCGAACCAGTGAACTGCTGCTGCTACAGTTATCAAATCAACAGTACCTTCGCCACCTATTAAGGTAACTAGTTCATCATCGGACATGGAGAGTGGCGTGTGGACGTAGCTAACTTTGGGATGTGGCATTGCGTACTTCAGCTGCCCTTCACTAACATCTGTTCCGATCACCTGCTCGTAATGTTCAGCAACCTAGTACACCACATATGATTGCATTAAGTTGATCTAAATGCCTAAATAAAAATTTTCTATTTATTATAAAAAGTAGTGTGTTATTTAGCACCACTGAACATCAGTCTAATCTGGTAACATTAAATTACAAGTTCAATTAAATTAGTCACATAATTTCACCTTTAATCAAACCTATCATAAAAGTCATATAGATCTAAGCACAACTGATATCAGATAACATTATTCTATTACAAATTAAAATCAAATCTCTTCATTGCAGATGAGAAACCTGAAACGTTAAATATTCATTTTCATGGGACCATTTAATGCATATGAAATGTCATTTAATAGGTAACCATTTCCATGTAAATTGTAAAAGATTGAAGAAATCAGGCATGGGAAGAAGGACATGGAACTAAAAAAAAGAACGGTGATTAGCTCTAAAAATTTCCTTGTAGATTGGACATGGTTTCTGCAGGGATTCCAGCAGGCAGGTTTGACAAAATTTGTTCCTTCTATTTTATTTTCCAAGTTATTGACTGATAAGTTATTTTTTAATTATTATTTTATTCTTGATGAAATTGTTAATTTTTATTATTTTATTTATTGATGAAATTTTCAATCATAAAATAAATTTATTTGAGTCACAAATGAAAGGTGTTAGATAGCACACCTTTTCAGCGTGCTATCATTTTAAATATTACTGCCGTAGATAAACAGATAATTTTTATATCAATTTTTTTTTTTACACCAAACATGGCAGAACTTAAAATATAAAAAGAGGGCGGATAATATATACTTACACCTATAGCTGCTTGGCCGTTGCCGGTGCCGACGTCCCAAGCAAGAGAGTGATTTGAGGTTCGCTCCGCCAGCATGGAATACCACTCTTTTGGATAAGTAGGCCTTGAATCCAAGTATATCGCCGCTTGCTTGTCGAATAATCCCGCCATTGATATAATTTCTATATATCTCTTATACACTCCCTCAGACTCTCTGTATATATATATATATACAAACATCAATCTATGTATATGCCTTGGAAGAGACAAAGTTGAGAGGAACTTCTCACCTAACCAACATTGTTGTCCGCTACATGTACAATGATAGTTGATAAGGTTTGTTGACTTTGACATCATCATATTCATCCATTTAAAAAAAATCATTTTTTAATTAATTGTTCAGATTTTGCATCTACAGACTTTGTCAACCGTCATTGTACAGGTAGATTAATTCGATTTTTATTTAATATTTTGGATAAATTACACATGGAATCTTTTAATTTCCAAGAGTTTCACTTTGCACAATGAGGTTTCACAAATTGTGATGCCTGTGTATAACGGTGGAATGGAAACAAATGAATTATAATGTAAAATGTTAGGTTCACAAAATTACTGAGGGGCATACGGAAAATATTTTAACAATAATTGAGTAATTTTTCAATTTCTGAAACCCTCTAAAATATATTTAGAAAAGTTCTGATTTCTATGAAATGCGTTGTTAAAATTAATTTGACTTAAAATTTTTATTAACTTTTTAATTTACACCAAACATGGACTAATTAAAGAGAAATGTGCTCATATATATATATATATATATATATACACACACACTCAGGAATCTAAACTTCGCCCGACTAATTTTGAGGAGTGGCGACATTCCTCCTGGTTCGCCACCCGAAAGTTTATATTTTTTTGATTATATGTATTATTGTATGTAGGTTGAAAATACAGTCTTCCAATAATTTCGTAAACATATTGTTTTGGTGGGGCACAATTTCCTCTCTTAGAACTTTTTGTATTTGATTTCGTTAATAATAATTATAGTGTCCCACTCCAAAAAAAAGAAAAAAAAAAACCTTAGGCTGATTGTTTTTATTAAAACTTGAAAAACATAGAGAAGGAGTATACATAATTTAGGAGTAAAAATGTGATTAGACCTTCATATTACGATGAAATCAACGAATCAAGTCAACAAATTGTAATTTAATGATTCCTCTATTCATTTTCTTAAAGCCACCAACCATGTTGTCGACTTTCATGTCTCTAATGTATGAATTCTTTGACTATGCACTACTCAATTCCAACTTGAACTTTTATTCAGCCCGTGATAAAAATCACTTTTATAATAAATTTTGATAAAAGTTAACGAAATGTGTAATTAAAAAGTAGATAAAAGTTATAAGATCCATGAAATGTAGAACTAAAAACAAATATGTGGAAAATAATTTTTCAAAAATTGGGACCAAACGGAAACTTATATTTGTTTTGAAATAGAAAATTGTATCACCAATAGTCCCAATTATAATCTTCTAATCAAGGGTTTATTTTTCGTTACTCCTCTCATTCATTTTCGTTCAAAATATGTAACATCACAAAAAAATCGACTATGCGTATCCCCAATTAAAAAAATTATTGTTGTTACTAGGTACCACCAGTACCAACTTGATCAAAAGGAAATGTAAATTGCATTCGAAGTACGAAAGATCCCTGGCTGGCTTCACCATATATACAAGCACATACAGGACTGCACAAAAAATAAATATTCAAAAACCATATATACTGTATACAAGCACATACTGGACTGGACAAAAAAATAAATATTGGAAGCACGCATTCTCTTTATTTCAAAATTTGATTGATCTAACGAGGTAGGATTATAAGGCGCAAGTGATTTATCCCGTTTTATTTATTTCTTCATGTTGATAAATATTATGCTAATGAAAGTTATGATATAATATAGATGGCTACTCTGTATCAAAGATATGATATATTATAAGCTTTTACCGATTTTCTAAAGATATGATATGACGGTATGATATTTTTGATGTGTGATTTAATATTTTATTCGAGATTGCACCATTATTCGTGTCTTATTGTGTATTTCCATGTACTCATCATTTTTTCCTTACTTCTCACAAATTAGAACGGATCATTGGTTAGTGGACGATGAGGTGCAGTCGTGGTGTTAGAATTTATGGAACTCAATAAAGTAATCTGGTGTAACAAAACAAATTTTTGCTATTTTTATCACACGAATAATTCTTTTAAGAATTTGGAATATGATTTTATTTGACTATGTATTTCCGTATGTTGACTTGATGGCAGTGTTCTAAATGGCATAAAAGGTGTCGATACATGGAGGCCAAGCTATGAACTATGCAAGCTTAGGCGAGAGGCATATGTGTAAAAAAGTGTAAAAAGACATTTTCTTATTTTAATATTATTTTAATTTTTAATCAATTAAAAAATTATTTAATAATTAAAAATAATACACATCAAACGTCTAAAATAGATTTATATAAAATTTATACATTTTTTCAAAAGTTTTTAACAAAAAGGTAAGTTTCAATATAAATCAACATTTAAATTTTAACTTAAAAGAATTGTAAAAAAAATTTAAAAAAATAATAATAAAAGAAAGGATAAAGCGGACAAGGATTGCCGTTGACAGCTAAAAAAGGTGCCAAGCCAAGTTTTCGCCATGCATCGTGCCTAGACATCGCCTTTTAGGGCACTGCTTGATAGTGACCGTGTTAATTGTTAAGTTTGATTATTTATCATCAATTGAGGTAAATATGATTTATCTTTTTCAATGCTAACAGTTAAATGTTGAAAGCATAATGTATACATGTATTTACGTCTCAAAATATATTAATTAAAGAATATGGGAAATTGTTATTGCCCACATCATTCGTTGTCGACGTTTGAACATTTTCCCCAATGTTTTCATCAGAATCATTTGAGCTCATGACAATTATCTCAAGAGCTACAACGTTTGTCAACCACTCATCATCATCAGATTCATCTTCGTATCGAACCATGAACTGGAACCCCTCTTCGACTACACTCTTTAGTGACTGCGATACTTCACTTGCAACTTCGTCAAGGTTTAAAAAAGAAACAGGGAAAATGGCTCTCCTACCATTTTGAGGGTGAACTTCCTCATCGTCCGACAAAATTATGATGGGAAATAATGGGGTCGAACCGAGTATTGGCAAAGGCTCATTCAGGTTGAAAGGTTTGTTGCTTCCCGTGGACGAACCCATTATGGAGAATGCAAAGAATAGGTGAATCTGTTTGTGTATGTGAGTAGTATACAGTGTCACGAAGCTTATGAAGTGTTTAAACGTAACTTATAATGAAGTGAAGCCATATTATTTATAATGAACTTCTTGGAGGGAAAGCAACTATGGTGATTTACTACTCAACCACCAAGTCACAGCTCAAACTTAATTTGACAAACAATTAGTGTGATGGTTTAAGGTCTAAGTGTACCTTTATGACCTAAAATTTGTCCATAATTTATGACAATGGTAAATCTTAATGAGTGTATACCATTTTTCTCTTAGAAATTCTACCTGTAGTTGTTGGCAATCAATTTTTATTAGTACCTTTGTATCTTAATTGTAGTATGGTCCTCTGAGATTTTTACATACTTCAACAAATTGAAGCACCAATAGGCAATGAACTATGATTTGCAAAAATCAAGCATCAACCATGAATTCGATGAGGGTTCCTAAAGATGTTGATTCACTGCATTACGACATTCAAACCACAAAACAGTACCCTAACTTCAACATGGATAACATAGACAACATTTTCCCATACACAAGAGGTAAAAAAATTTCACGCACAATCATACAAGACACTAGATCTACATTCAACATCAGTATAAATTTTTTTTGGATACTCTTACACAATTCTCAAGTGTTACACTGACAGAAATTAAAGCAATTAACGGGAAAATTACACATGAACATTTTAGAAAAATGTTCTTCCTTGTGAAGTCTCAATTGGAGATTGTTCGCTGAAAATACACCGCAAGCGCACAGGTCGAGTACAAATGGTAAAGTGGACCTTTAGAGTCCGAATTGTCGATCCCACGAGAAATGTACACTTTTGATTACGTAACTTTAATCAATTTTAATTCTAACAATAAAAGAAACACACACAATTAAACATAAGTTTAAAAAGCGGTAAATAAACTAAAAATCTACAAAATAAGAAAATAAAATTTTTGGAAATTTCGGAGGGAATTGTGGTTGGAATTTATGATATCACTTAACCTTTTGTTTCATTAATATCAATCCAACAATGCGCCGATGCAAATTACCAAAATACAATAGGTAGACCCGATTTTCCAAATTTAGTTAACACCCTCTCTCGAGATCATACTAACCCTAATCAGTTAATTTGTATCGCATATCTCTATGTCGATAAAAACATAACCAATTGCATGAGTTTTTGTGAAAATACTCAACGGGTCACTTGAGGTAGGTGTATATCTCTATATCACCAAGACGTGCCTAGTATACCAGACAAATCTAGAGTATCAATCATTTCGATCTAGTAAATATAACTATTTTTCAACAATCACATAAACAACTAATTACAACATCTATTGTCGTCACAAAAATGAAGTAATTTTAACATGATGATCAATTCACTATGATTTTGATAACAATTACATTTTTCACTAAACATGTAGATATTAATGAAACTAGGTTAAGTTAAATCATACATTCCAACATAACACACTTAGCTCATGTTATATATATGATAACGAGGAGAATATTTATACATATTCATTACAAATATGGAAGAAAAATTGAGAAGATTCAAAGATATAGATAAAACTCCTTTTTGCTTGGCTTTGAATTCTCCCAACTATTTCTCCAACCCTTTGATGTAATCTCCTTGTTACTCTTTGATTTTCTCCTCCAAAATGAGCCAAGAACAACACAAAAGAAAAGAAAATGGAGGAAAAGAAAAGGGGAGAAAAATATCCTAAAACTACTACCAAGTCTAATGGAATGTATGTGGGATATTTTGGAATATATTGAGATATATTATGTGAGACAATCCAAAATATCCCAAAATATCATCCAATAAACAAGTCAAAAATAAGGAAATTTGACCATAAAAATCGGCAAAGAAAAATTAAAACCGCC